TCAAGCACGGCCTGGTTCCAAGTGCGAGTTTTTTCAGGACAGACTAGAGTTTATGGGGGCACGTTATTATAGAGGCTGGGGTTGAGATTGACCCATAGAAGCTGGACACGATCAAAGCATGGCACCTCCCAACAAATATCACATAGCTGCAGAGTTTTTGGGGGTTTGTTAATTATGTCCGTCGGTTAACAAACCCACTTACGACATGGCGCGGTTAACAGCCCCACTTACGAATCTTTTGCGGAAGGGGGTCGTTTTTACGTGGGGGGAGAAAGAGCATGCTGCCTTCTCTGCCCTGAAAAATATTCTTTGTTCACCGCCAGTACTGTGCATCGCCGACCCCCACCGCCCGTTCGAAGTAGTAACAGACGCAAGCAACATCGCCGTCGGAACAGTACTGCTATAGGACTTTGGCATTGGCCTACAGCCCATTGCATACAAGTCACGAAAACTGCATCCGCCCGAAAAGAATTACCCGATACACGATCGCGAAATGCTCGCGATCGTGCACGCATTCAAAGTGTGGCGCTGCTACTTGACCGGCGCAGACGTGACAGTACGGACAGACCATAAATCACTACAGTACCTCTGTGCACAGCCCGACCTCAACCCACGATAGATTCCCTGGCTCGATTTCCTCGAGTCAAACTTCCACTACACGGTCACCTACAAAAAAAGGGGCATCGAACATCGCCGACGCACTGACCCGCCCCACTGCCCAGCTCCATGCAATACTACTTGCCCAGACCAGCCCACTACTGACAGGACTATTTACCCACAGATACCAAACATGTCCATTCTTCACAGAAGGAAATTCGCAGCAGTTCGCACAGCAAAAAGAGTTTATTACGTAAAATCAGGCACCGACCGCATCTGGGTACCGGGGTACACGCTACTACGGGAATTACTGCTACAGGAGGCACACGACGGAGTCACCTCATGGCATTTCGGAGTAGAAAAAATGCGGCAGCAGCTGCAGCGGTATTATTATTGGCCCGAAATGTTGACCGACGTGCAGCGACACGTACCATCGTGTCCCACTTGTCAGCTCATGATGTCATCATGGAAGCAGCCGGCAGGACAGTTGCAGCCGATTCTACCCCCAGAGCGTGCTTGGTAGCAGGTGACAATGGACTTCGTCACGGGGTTACCGGCCAGAGCGAGTGGGAACGGCGCGATCCTATTCGTCATCGATCGGCTGACGAAAATGGCACATTTCGCAGCCTGCAAGAAATCGATCACAGCTGAAGAAACAGCCCGCCTCCTCATCTCCACCGTCGTTCGATTGCATGGGATACCAGCAGCGATCATCAGCGACCGCGACACGAAATTCACCAGCAAATTCTGGCGGAACCTGTGGCAGCAGTTCGGCACGCGACTACAGCTTAGTTCTTCGTACCACCCCGAGACCGACGGACAGACAGAAAGGACAAACCAGACCATGGAGCAACTCATCCGAGCCACGTGCGACGACCCGATCATCTGGGAACAGCAGCTGCCACTCATCGAGTTCGCATACAACAACTCGCCATCCGCCACGACCCAACAGTCACTGTTTTACCTGAACTACGGACAAGGCCCCACAGTACCCATGACCCCAAATCCTGACAACCCGGTGCCACGCGCACAACAGTTCGCCGAAATTTTACAAGCAGCACAGACCCGAGTAGCAAACGCAATAAAAAAATCAAACATCATCGCTAAATGCAACGCCGACCGCGACCGCCGACCTGTCACTTACCAGCCCGACGACCTAGTTTTACTCGACACCCAGAACCTCTGCCTGCCCATCACCCCAAAACTTCGCTGTCGATATTGCGGGCCATTTCGCATAAGCTACATGATCACACCCGTCACCGCCCACCTCCTCCTCCCTGCTGTCTGGTACATCAGCCCGTCCTTCCATGTCAGCCTGCATCGCCCTTACGTACCATCCACCAGCAAACTGCCTCGCAACCGCCCAGCCAGCATGACACGACCGCCTACCGAGCCAATCATCACGCCCGAGAAGATTCTGAGCCACCGATTTCGTGACCCACGGGGAGCTCGAATGATAGAGTTCCTGATCCGCTGGAGAGACCGTGCGCCCACCGAAGACAGCTGGGTTCCCCAGGACAGAATTGAAAACCACCCCGTTTTCACCGAGAATCTGCGCGGCGGAAATTTTCGGGACGTACACGCGCTTTCGTAAGGAGGGCCTCCTTAGGGGAGGGGGTAGTGTAAGGAAAATTCCTTTTCCTTACTTCGCGTCCCTGCTCAGCGCGTACACCACTGTTTCCGCCAACAGCACTAACAGTAATCCATTAGCACTCGCGACACTCACTGTCAGATTACTATAGCTGATGCATGTTTGTAGGCTATAGTGGGGTAGCACATATGGGGTACAGCTTTCTAGGGTTGTATTTGTACCCAACCCTGACTTAGTCATTTCATTCCTGTTTGCTTATTATCACATGGTATAGAGCGGGTCCTTCTAAGGACCGTTTTTTTTGGGCCCACCGAAGCGCCCCCCGAGGCGCGATTTTTTTTTAGCGACCCCTCGGGTCGCCATTTCCCCTGCGGCCCCGCCGCCTTCACTGACGCGGCCCCGCCGCCGGCCCTTACGCGGCCCCGTCGCCGGCTTTCACGCGGCCCCGCCGCCGGCTCTGTCGCGGCCCCGCCCCGGCCTTTACGCGGCCCCGCCGCCTGCTCTCACGCGGCCCCGCCCCGGCTCCTTCGCGACCCCGCCGCCTGCTCTCGCGCGGCCCCGCCCCGGCTTCTACGCGGCCCCGCCCCGACTTTCACGCGGCCCCGCCGACGGCTTTGTCGCGGCCCCGCCCAGGCCCTTACTCGGCCCCGCCGCCTGCTCTCACGCGGCCCCGCCCCGGCTCCTTCGCGGCCCCGCCGCCTGCTCTCGCGCGGCCCCGCCCCGGCTTCTACGCGGCCCCGCCCCGGCTTTCACGCGGCCCCGCTGACGGCTCTGTCGCGGCCCCGCCCAGGCCCTTACGCGGCCCCGCCGCCTGCCTCCGTCGCGGCCCCGCCCCATCCCGGCCCAGCCGCCCCTTCGCGGCCCGGTCGCCTCCTGACGGCCCCGCCGTCCCTTCGTGACGGCCCCGCCGTCCCTTCCTGACGGCCCCGCCGTCCCCTCCTGACGGCTCCTGCCGTCCCCTCGGCACTGTTCCCGCCACTCTTCACGACGCGACCCAACCTCACGGTTCGGTTGGTAACCCGCTCTCCGAACCTCCGCCTCGACATTTCCCAACCTCGGTGCTAGTCTCGTCGCGCACCCCATTTTCCACACATTACCGTTACCACTATAGTTTCGCTATATATCATTCGCTCATGCCTTCGCTCATTGTACTCTTGTGTTACGGGTGCAATGAATCGAGGTAGCGAGGATTGCACTAAGTCTCGAACAAGTACAAAAGGTGAGCGGGGGCATGAGCAAACATTTATACGCGAAACATGCAAACGGTAACGCGGTGCGTGCGAGCTAGCTAGTGCTAGGCTGGCATCGAGGCTCGGGCTAGTCCCAAAGTGTAGGCCGACACGGCCGGGCCAGCGGTGCATGGTTTGGTGAAACAGTGCGCGCGAAGTCGGCGAAGCCCCTTCAGTGGTAACGGGCGAACAACGGCTTCTGCTGTACGCGATGTTGCAGGATGTGCTAAGGAATGTCGAGGAAATTCCTTACATCTTGCTTCGATAGCGCAATCCTCGTTTGCTCACTCAATTGCACTTGTAACAAGTTCACTCACTCTGTTATGAGTTGTATGAAAGAAGAATGCGCAGTAGTCAATAACGCGGAAGTGATTACAACTACTGAGCAAACAATGAGGCCTAGGCATAATATAGCAAAGCTAGCTAGGCCGAGGTCGCGGAGTCGCACGAAGGTTGGGTGCAGGTTTGGGGTTGAAAACCCCGAAGGCGACGCGAAGGACGTTCGGAAGGCGAGGTGAGCGGACCGAGCCTGAACTGGACTTGTACGCGTACAGAGTGCCTCAGTAAGGAATTAGGAAAATTCCTTACACACTCGTACTCGCATTGAGCACACCACGAATCGCACGCTCAAGCCCGATTGGTCAGCGCTAGAAATCTTACCTCCTCAGATCCAGCCTTCCCAGATTTTGCACCCACTCTTTCCACCACAAACCCAAATTCCCGCCAAAGCCAGATAATCACTTTGCCTACCCTTCTGCATATTCAGCACAGACATCAAGACACGCGATGGAGAACGTTCATTCGTAGTAGAAGGCGCGATCTTTTCGTAACATCCGAAGAGCATTTGCCAATACTCCAGCTATGGCGTCAGCCGTGGTAGACCATCCGTACTATCCGCGCGACATCGTCGTTCCTAATTACTCTCCTTCGGGATGGTCGGTCGAAGCGCTTTTCGGCGTCTTCGGAGCGGCCGTTGTTCTCGTGATCGTCGTCTCGTGGCTATTCACCCGTAGGTTCCCTGTTACACGGTTACCTTTAGGACCAGGTTTTATTTGAGATCCACAATAACCCTTGGTCTACTTACCCGTATGCCCGTACGCCCGTAACCCTTACCCGTATGCCCAGTTTCAGTCTGAGAGCCAACCCGTAGGTCCACTGGTTCTGGTGTTAGGCAAGCTAACGCGGCATTGCGATCTATTGCGCGAAGGCAATGCACACGATGCGACAACCTGCGATCTGTGCGATTCATCGTAACATTCCTGCGATTTGTAACATCCATTTGATTCATGACTCGTGCAGCTCATGCGATTCATACGACTGATTATGCGAATCAACGGCTGATCATGCGATCTTATAATTGAGCGTGCGAATCATGCAACGGATTATGCGATCATGCAGACTGATCATGCGACTGATCTTGCGATCTTACGACCGAGCATGCGAATCGTGTGACTGATCACATTCCTGACGACTCTCGTCACCGCCATTGCAGATCCTTCCTCCATCAGTACTCTTCCCTTCCCCACGATTCTCTGTTCCCTCCATCCCACTGTTTCCAACAATATCATCCACCCACCCATCAGGATCCTGTCGCCACATGTCGGCTCTAGATAGGGCCATCTTCTGCTGGTGGGCAGTGACGGGGGCGATTCACGTGGTGCTGGAAGGCACGTTCGTTGCGTTCCCGGACCTCATGAGCAGCACCAGCAACGCCTTTCTATTAGACGCATGTACGTACCATCTGCTTGCGTGTGTGTGTGTGTTGGGGGGGGGGGGGGGGGGGGGGGGGTTTGATTGCTCTTGCGGTAAGGACTTGCATTGGGGTGACGCTGGTGCTTGCGTTGGCGCAGTGTTGGGGCGGGGAGCGCAGTCCAAGTGGTGGTAAGAGGCATATTCGTTGCGGTCCCAAACCTCCTGACCGTGCCTTTCCTTACCTTGTCACCTGCCGCCCTGATCTCGCACCATTCCTCGCGGGGAAGGAGTACAGCAAGGCCGAATAGCGCTATGCCACTCGCTATGCCTGTATGCACTCTTGGTACCTCTCCTTACCTTGTCACCTGCCCCCCTTTTCCCCGCCTCCTGTCACCTCTCACCTGCCACCCCTCTTCCCTTCGCAGGGAAGGAGTACAGCAAGGCTAATTCTCGCTATAGCACACGAGATGGATGCGTGTTTTTTCATTGTTCCCCGCTATTCTTCTGCCACTCTTGCCCTGCCCTACCCTGTCACTTGCCCTGCGCTCGCCTCACCCTCACATGGAAGTAGTACAGCAAAGGCGATTCACGCTATGCCAGCCGAAACGCAATGTCACCTGCTCCGCTCTCGCACCACCCCTTGCAGGGAAGGAGTACAGCAAGGCTGATTCGCGCTACGCCACACGAGACGGCTGTGTGCTCTCTGTTGAGGCAGTCACTGCGTTCATTGAAGGGCCTGCTTGCTTCCTCATCCTGTGAGTGACCCTTGAGCTGTCAACCTTTTGCTGAATGGCCTCTGCTAAAGGCTTTTGCTGCCTGTTTTCTGGCACCACAATCCGCACCACGCAAGATGGATGTGTGCTCTCCGTTGAGTCGGTCACTGCTTTCGTCGAAGGGCCCGCTGCTGTGAGCCTTATCCAGTAAGACGTTCGATTACCCGTCCACTTCCCCGCATACCTCCTCCCTTCCTTCCTCATTCCCTCTTACCTTTCCTCCTCCCTTCCGTCCTCCGTCTTCGGAATCCCGTCCCTCCTCCCGTCTGTCCTCCGTCTTCGGAATCCCGTCCCTCCTCCCTTCCCCCCTCCCGTCCCTCCTCTCGTACCACCCTTCCTATCATCCCCCACTTTCCCTCTTCTGTCTCCTGCCCTCATGCCACGGAGGGTACACTCCTCATCACAAAGGTTACACAAGCATGGCACGGAACAGAAGCATGGCGGAAGAATTTTCTTAAGTAATTTGCTGATCCCCCATTCCCCCAAACCCACCGTTCCCTCACAGGTATGCCATAGCAGCCCGAAACCCCTTCTCTCCGCTCCTCCAGTTCGCCGTCTACCTCGGCCAGCTGTACGGCATCGTCATCTGCTTCGCGACAAGCCCTCCGTTCTCATTCTCTGCACCCAAACCCACCCAAACCCACCCCAACCCAACCTCACCCCACAGATATGGTCTGGCGTCGCGGCGCCCCTTCTCCCCGCTCCTCCAGTTCGCCGTCTCCCTCGGCCAGCTGTACGGCGACGTCATCTACTTTGCGACAAGCTTCCTGGAAGATTCCAAGCACTGCCATCCGGACCCGATCTACTTCTGGGGGTACTTTATAGCGATGAACGCCGTGTGGATTGTGGTCCCCTTTGCCATCCTCTGCCGCTGCTGGGGGCAGATCACGGCAGCCATGGCAGCTGCGTATGCAGCTGGGGGGAGTGGTGTCGGTGGTGGTAGTGGGGGGATGAATGGGGCAGTGAAGAGCAGACGGACAAAGAGGGAATGAACCCCGTATTGTTGGACTACTTTAATCTATGGTGTGCTGGCATCAGGGTACTGAAATTTTTACCCTAAGGGTCAGGGTACGGGGGGCCTGGTACCCTGATTTGCAAGAGTGGACCTAAACCTATTTTGGGCCCTGTCCCCGAGCCCTGCACTTCAAACTGCTCGAATTGCCGCCCTCCCAGCATCTCCATGAGAGCGTTGTAGTGGTCCAGCTTGATGAATGGCGCTGGCGCTGCCTGCCTTGGATAGAATAGGAGGTGCTTTTGTAGAGTTTGGTAGCGGAAGACTTGTAAGAACTCAGATCATAGTGAATGTAAATGACCAAGTTTATTAAAAGATAGAATACAAGGGATACAAATAGTCCTAGTCTAGCCATGTACTCTAAGGGGTACATTCCCTTATTATAACTGTTTTACAGACATTTCTACAGTGACTCTGACTGTTGCATTGCCTTTCTTGTTACCGAATCGCTGCATGTAACCTGTACGGTTACTCCTGTTGCCATTCCTTGATGGTAAGTCAAGCGTCGGTCCAGATGGTCAACAGTCGCGACAGTTGACTCTTGCGACTGTTGACCTTCCTGCCCTTGTTACGGGCTGATCCGATATTGCGGTAGTTGCTATTTCGACAGAGTCAGGTGCGATACTGCTGCACCTACGGGAATGCTAAGTATAATTCCCTTTACACTCCAACACTCCCCTTCATTCCTGGAGGTGCGCCACGTGGCTTTTGCGAGTGACTCCGCACAGGTCCGAGCAGTACTGGAACTTCTGATGTGGCAGTTTCTTCGTGAGGAAATCAGCTGCCATTTCGCCAGTTGGACAGTAGATGAGTTGGACCTTCCCTTTGTCGATTTCGTCCTTCACGAAGAAGTAACGCAGGGCGATGTGTTTCGTGCGGTTGACGAAGCCTGGCTTGTTGGCGATTTTGATTGGGCTCTGGTTGTCACAGAATAACTTAAAGAACCCGTTCATCACCGTCTTCGTTTCCTGCAGGAGTTCCGTGAGGTAGAGTCCCTCGCGAACTGCTGCGCTTGCTGCGATGAATTCTGCTTCTGCTGACGAGAGGGCGATGAGCTCTTGTTTGTTGGAGTTCCAAGAGATGGTGCCTGCAGGCTCAAGTTTGAAAATGAAGCCTGTGCGGGACCTCCTGTTGTCTGCGTCCCCAGCGTGCTCAGCATCCACATAGCCAGTGAGTTGTAGTGGAGCTGTTAGGTTAGCCTTGTAGGTGAGGCCGACATCGGGCGTAGAGATGAAGTACTGTAAGGCGCGGCGCAGGTCCGCTAGGTTCTCCCCTTCAGGTCGGCGCAGGTACTGGGCGAGCTGGCTGGCGATGTAGGATAAATCCGGGCGGCATGTGACGGCGACGAACAGTAGGCATCCGAGTTGCTGCTGATAGAGTGATCGGCTGGTGAGAGCGGAGTGGTGTCGGGCTCGTGGTTAGGCGGAGGAATGCGGAATGGGGTAGTGACGCCGACGGGAGCTATCCCGAATTTCTTAGCAAGGGTCTCGGCGTACTTTGCGGCGGAGAGATGAATGGTGTCCGCGGTCTGAGTGATGTTGAGGCCGAGGAATTGAGTGACCTCGTGGTCGATCGTGACCTCCAGCTTTTCCTGAATTTCGCGTTCGAAGCGATCGAGCAGGTCGTTGTCGTCGCAGGTGTAGAGAAGATCGTCGACGTAGGCGACGAGCAGGATGAAGTGACCGCGGGATTCGAGGCGGTACATGTCAGTAGAGCTACACTGTGAGATCCCCGATCGATCCTAGGGGTGGTTACAGGCGCGTTTGCCTGGGGGGTTATGGGCGCACTGACCCGCTACTGAAACAAGCCCTTTTATCCCAATGGTCTAGTGGTTGGGATTCTAACATGGTATCAGAGCGGTCTCGGGTTCGAATCCCGGTGTATGCACATGTTGGCCGTTGCCACTGTGCTCAGTCCTGGGCCTCCCAGTGTGGGGGGGTGTCAGTAGAGCTACACTGTGAGATCCCCGATCGATCCTAGGGGGGGTTACAGGCGCGTTTGCCTGGGGGGTTATGGGCGCACCGACCCGCTACTGAAACAAGCCCTTTTATCCCAATGGTCTAGTGGTTGGGATTCTGACAGTACATCCCCTGATCGTGGGGAAGCTACTGGAATCCGAGTTCGATGAGGACGCAGTGAAGATGCTGCTGCCACAGGCGAGGTGCCTGCTTGATGCCGTACAGGGACTTTTGCAGGAGACAAACTGCGTCGCCATCTTCTTCGAACGCGTCTGGCTGCTCGACGTAGATGACAACATCGACGATCGCGTAGAGGAACGCATTGGAGACGTCGATCTTGCGAAGCGGGCGCTGTTTCAGGGCGGCGATGCAGAGAAGAATGCGTACTGAGGTATGACGACCGACAGGTGCGAAGGTCTGGTTGTAGTCCACGAATTGTGTCTGCTCGAATCCGCGAACCACCCAGCGCGCCTTAATTTTTTCGACTGTTCCATCCGCGAGAGTCTTGATGCGGAAAACCCACTTCCCTGTAAGGATCTTCCTCCCCTTTGCGTGGCGGCGTGGTACCAGCTTCCAAGTTCCACGACGTTGTAGTGCAGCGACTTCTGCGGCCATGGCGGCTCTCCACTTCTCGGCATCGGGCCCGTTGAGAGCCTGGCGAACGGTGTTGGGCTCGACCAGCTGCTGGTTACCCCGCACGGCGACAGCGAGGCCGAGGATACGAAGGCCCGTGAGGTTGGATTCGGCTGTGGTGGTAACTTCGACCACGTCGTCGTCGTCACCAGGGATGTCGCAAAAGGTGTCGCGAGATGAGTCACGAGCTGGGTTCATGGGTGAGTGCATTTCTGCACTTGCGTAATCGTGGTGTGCCTGTACTGCTTCGTGGGGATTGGTGTCTGTTGGGAAGTATGTGGGAGTGCCGAACTGCTCCGTAACGGGGATGAAGGGTGCTTCATCTGCTGCAGCCTGGTCTGGCTGTTCTCCTACCACGTCAACGTTGTCCTCGTCATTGGCGTAGCTGTGTTGTCCCTGGAAAATGTTGTCCGGTGCGTTCTGTGCAGTGCGGTGCTGGCGGTACAGTGGCAGGGTCAGTCTTTCGTAGAAGATGCAGTCACGTGAACGCGTGAGCTGGTGGGTGGCGAAGTCCAGAGTTGTCCAGGCGTGGTATTTGGATTCGATTCCGAGGTGAATGCCAGAGCGAGTGAGATCCTCAAATTTTCCGGTTCGGGCAGTGTGAGGGCGAACTGTACCATACACCCGAAGACTCGCAGCATGCGTGTATCGGGGTGATTTCCGGTCCACTCCTTGAAAGGCGAGCTGTTGTTGGGCAGTGCTTTTGAGGATAGCATGTTGTGCAGCCAAACTGCATGCCCCATGGCGAAGGGCCAATACTTGGTTGGCACAGCCGACTGCTTCATGAGGGCTCGCATTTTCGTCGCGAGGCTCCTGTTGGTTCTTTCCGCCAATCCCTGCTGCTCGTGGACGTAGGGCAAGGAGACCATCCTCTTGATCCCTCTCTGCTTGCATAGGGTTTTGAAGTCGTCCGACATGTACTCCAGGGCTCCGTCTGTCTGGAACGCTTTCAACTTGTGGCCGTCACTTAGGTTTTCCGCCATGGCGAGCCAAACTTCGAAACAGTAGCAGGCGAGGTAACGGTCCTTGACGTTCACGGCCCAGACGAAGCGTGTGCCGGCGTCAATGAAGTGTCAGAACATTATAGTTTATGCTATTCTGTAGGCTATAGTGGGGTATCCCATAGGGGGTACAACCCAACTAGGGTTTCATATTTGTACTCGCTTCATTCATAGTTCACATCATTCTCTCGTTCTCATTCTCACATGGAATCAGAGCAGGTCCCCTCCTAGGGACTGTTCCTAGGGCCCACCGAAGCGCGCCTCGAGTCGCGCTCTCCCTTTTTTTTTTCTAGCGGCCCGTCGTGCCGCCCTTACGGTCGCGTCGAGCCGCCCTAGCGGCCCCGCCGCCCTACCTAGCGGCCCCGCCACCCTACCTAGCGGCCCCGCCACCCTACCTCGCGGCCTCGCCGCCCCATTGCGCGGCCCCGCCGCCCTACCTAGCGGCCCCGCCGCCCTTACTCGCGGCCCCGCCCCCCCCCCCCCCCCCCCCATCGCGCGGCCCCGCCGCCCCATCGCGGCCTCGCCGCCCCATCGCGCGGCCTCGCCGCCCTACCTAGCGGCCCCGCTGCCCTTCCTCGCGGCCCCGCCGCCCCATCGCGCGGCCCCGCCGCCCTACCTAGCGGCCCCGCCGCCCTTCCTCGCGGCCCCGCCGCCCCATCGCGCGGCCCCGCCACTCTACCTCGCTGCCCCGCCGCCCTACCTCGCGGCCCCACCACTCTACCACGCGGCCCCGCCGCCCTATCTCGCGGCCCCGCCGACCTATCCAGCGGCCCCGCCGCCCTTCTGCAGCGGCCCCGCCGCTCCTCTGCAGCGGCCCCGCCGCCCTACCCAGCGGCCCCGCCGTCCTTCTGCAGCGGCCCCGCCGCTTCTCTGCAGCGGCCCCGCCGCCCAATCTAGCGCCCCCGCCGCCCTCTCTGCAGCGGCCCCGCCGCTCCTCTGCAGCGGCCCCGCTGCCCTACTTCAGCGGCCCAGCCGAGCTGCCCAGCAGCAGAGCAGCCGAGCCGCCCAGCAGCAGAGCAGCCGAGCCGCCCTGCAGCCGAGCCGCCCGGCAGCCCACCAGCCGAGCCGCCGTGCAGCCGACCGCCCAGCCGCCGAGCCGCCCAGCTGCCGAGCCGCCCAGCCGCCGAGCCGCCCAGCTGCCGAGCCGCCCTTCAGCCGAGCCGCCCGAGCAGCCCTGTCCGGTGAGCACAGACCCTCTGTCACTGCGTGCCCTTCCCCTACTGCTTGCACTGCTGGTCTCCTACTGTCATGGCTACCCCTAGTGTCCTCGCTTTTGACGCTGAGGGTCGGGCCATTGATTTTGAGGTCTGGGTAGATGACCTACAGCTGTTCTTACAGTGCGATAGGGCGGACGGCCTCTCTCTCTTTGACCTCACCTCTGGCGCTTC